CTAAACCCTAAACCCTAAAATCGTGTAATCCTTCATTCCCAGCTTTCCAAAGGCCAGCTTAACACACCCTAAACCCTAAACCTACACCCTGAACCCCTAAATCCCTAAACCCTAGACCCTAAACCCTAAAATCCTAAACCCCTAAAACTTAAAACCCTAACTCCTAAACTCCTAACACCCTAAATCCCCTAAATCCCTAAATCTCAATATCCGAAAGGCGAAGCAGGAGCCGAGAGCCTGCTGCTGGGTGTCGTAGTAGATGTAATTCCCAGGATGCATCCTAAGGGGTTTTTAAGGATTTCAGGCGTTTAGGGTTTAGGGTTTAGGGAGTTTAGGGATTTAGGGGCTTAGGGTTTTAGGGGTTGAGGGTTTCAGGCGTTTGGGGATTTCAGGGTTTCAGGGATTAGGGTTTTAGGGATTTAGGGTTTAGGGATCTAGGGTTTAGGGATTTTAGGGGTTTAGGGGTTTAGGGTTTAGGGTTTTAGGGTTTGGGGTTTAGGGATTTAGGGATTTAGCGTTTTAGGGTTGAAGGGTTTTAGGGTTTCAGGGCTTTAGGGTTTTAGGGTTTAAGGGTTTAAGGGTTCACTTTCCTAGAAAGGCAAGTTGCGTTAGCTTAAGGCCGTGGCAGAGGGACCTAAAGTTCTGAAACTACGACCTGGTGCTAGGCATTTTGTGGCCACATTGCTTATGCATGGAAGACATACCCACACCCCCAAAGGGATCTAAAAAAATATCTTCCCTTGAACCAAATAAGAAAATGTATAAGGACTATACAAGGCTTATCATGGGTCTCTATATAGAGGATCTAATTTTTATATCCTCCCAGGAGTCTGGGAAGGGACTGTAGGCCCGTATGCCTAGGCCTCAGTAGGCCGCATGTGCAAGCATAAGGAACCTGCCAGTGTCCTCGCTTGGTCAAGTCTTTGAACCAACAGAACCGACACATGTGCGATCTTGCCGGGGTTTTCCACGACCGCGATCTTTGCAAAATGCAAAGGCGCCAACTGCAGCCGAAAACGCGTAACATTCTAGCCCTGGCAACACCCCGCAACCACCGGAAACCCGGGAGAGTCCTAACTCATCTTGCTCTATTGAATGCCATTGACTCACCGCTGCTGAATTGGGAAGAAAGGAACGAGTCCTCCATTCCCTTCTAGCCGCAGCAAAACCTTAGGGCCCTAAACCCTAAATAATCTAGCAGCTTCCCTTTACGTTTTGCCTGCCAACAAGGAAGTTCAGAGGCTTTGAAGTTGGGGAGGGAGACCCAAAACGACGAAAGCCTAAACTACTTCCTTTGGAAGCCTATGTCTGAAAACATGCCTGTTGTACTCCTCACGGGGCTTGAATAAAAAAATCAAGAACTATAACCGACAACCACAAATACATGGCTCACGGTTTGCATTTATGGCCTCCCAAATTGGACACCCAGTTTACTCACTCGCCAATATTCCTCAAGAACCCTATGTACCCTCACTTGTTACCAGTTGCAAAGCCCTACTTGCCGTGCATCCTGGGTGCTCGTTCACCCCGGGGAGAGCATCAGGAGGATTCGAACACGTCGGTGTGGATCCCACACCAACTGTCGGTACCTTCAGTACGGATGAATTAGAACAGTTGCTGACGCAAAGGATGCAAAGTGAAAATAGCGGTGAGCTATACCAAACAAGGTACTTGAAGCTCGTAGCTTCCGGTGGACAATCATCATAGTAACCCCTTTTCCGGATGCGCAGGTTTTGGCTGCAGTTGTTGTGGTATGCCTTCAAGGATAGGATATGGAATGATGGGATCCAGACTTCCTCAGCACACACCTGCATTCTGAGTTCTAACTTCTGGGGCCCAAATCTTATATTCCCCCAAAAACATGGAACCCCACATAACCTCTGTAAGAGGACAAGACGAAGGGCCCGTTTCAGGTTCCATGCAAGTTTGGAGAGGGTAAGGTCAATCTGAACTGCGGCCTAAACCTTCCCCCCACGGCCCACATGCAGCATGCACGCGGACAATTTTGACAGGAGAGTGACTACACCAGAGAACACACTTCGCATCAAATTCTATCCAGAACCCTGAGCCCAAGAGGCCTGAACCATTTAAGCAATAATCACTAGACCCTACACTGGCCCTACACCCCACACCTTAAACCCCAAACCCTGAACCCTCAACTCTAAACCCTAAACCCTACACCTTTCAACCTCAACCCACAATTGCCTGTAACCTGCCCTAAACCCTAAACCCTCAACCAAAAGCCCTAAACCCTACACTCGACACTTGTCAACCTTACCCCTAAACCCAAAAGAGGAACTTCCATTTTCTTTTCCATTATCATCCCAATATAACCCAAATATAACCCTAATGTTACCCCAATGGGTCAGCAATTTTCCCGAAACCTGTTGCCTTCACCCCTGCTTCCCGGAGGCGACTGGCGAGCGCAGCCACAGCACGTCCCTTGCAGCTCAAGATTTCGTTGAGGGCTTGGGGTTTTGGGTTTAGGGCCTAGGGTTTTAAGGTTTTAGGTTTAGGGTTTAGGTTGAGGGTTTAGGGTTTAAGGGTTCAGGGTTAAGCGTGATGGGGTTTTGGGGCGTAGGGTAGCGAGCTTAGAGCCCCCCGGGTTTAGGGTGGGCAGTCTAGGCTCTGGAGGTTTGTAGTTGACGGCTCCGGGGTTTAGGTTCAGGTTTAGGGTTCAGGGTGGAAGGTTTATGGCTTCGAGCTTCGTGTTCAGGATCTATGGGTTCAAGATTTCCGAACTAACTTTAGGAATGAGTGCGGGCCACATGGGGTGTAAGGGTTGACGGGGCTTCTCAGATTTGTAGGTCGGTTCCACAGGAGGGGCCATATTGTTCTGGGCTACTGTTTTGAGGACTCCCATTTTGAGAGAGTGAGCGAGCGAGAGGGAGAGGGAGAGAGAAACAGAGAGAGCGAGAGAGAGAGAGAGAGAGAGAGAGAGAGAGAAACAGAGAGAGCGAGAGAGAGAGAGTTGACTGTTGCCTGTGAACCCTAAACCCTACCCTAAAGCCCTAAACCCTTAACCCCTAAACCCCTAAACCCTGAAGCCTATACCCGTGCACACACCTGCCAACAGTCTGGATCTCCCTTGAAGTATTGCCATGAAACCTAGGCGGGTGTCAGATAAAGGGTTTCAAATTCAAACTTTTCGGGTTTAGGGCTCAGGTCTAGGGACCCCCAGCCTTGAGCCCCTTAACCCCACAACCCTGAGCCCCAAGATGAAGTACCCGGTAACAATAAAATCTTAAGCATCATCCAACATGTGCCGAACCTCCGATCAAAGCGCTTTAAGCCTAAACCCTAATCCCTAAACCCTAAACCCTGAGCCCTAACCCTCCCCGCCCAACCCAAAGCCCTACCCGCATTAGACCTTTGGACCTTTAACAGACCAACCATGGGGACCAAAATGCCCAGCCAATCCAACCCCTTCATCTAAACACCTGATCCCTAAACACCTAGACACCCTAACGGCACTCCTAACACCCTAGCGTAGTCCTTCTTGAGACACCCTCTCTATCAGTACCTCTCCCTCCTCCTTGTTCATTGCGTCTTGTGAGTAGGCTAGAAAGAAAACTGGATCTTCATAGTCAAACCCTAAACCCCAAACATAAAACCCCCAAACCCTAAACTCTGAAACTCTACACATAAGTCCAGAATTGCTGGACGCGGGGCCTCGGCAGCTGCGACTGCCCGGACTTCTGCAACCTAATGCGGTTTGGGGTTAATGGGCTTAGGGTTCAGGGTTTCGAGGGGTGTAGGGTTCAGGGTTCATGGGTCTAATGGTTTAGGGTGCAGGAAATCAGAGATGTGGAGTTCAGGGGCTTTTGCGGTTTAGGGGTTTAAAGGCTCGGGGTTTCGGGTGCCCTCTTTCAAACATTTGGCTGCACTGAAGTGCTGCAGTTGTGTAAGCACGCACCAAGAACAAGCGCAAAATCATCATTGAGATGTTCGCATTTGGGCGCGGGAAGGGGCTACAGTTGAAACTGAAAATCCTGTGTAGCTCAAAAGGCCTGACACCCTGGGAATCACGATATTCTGGTATGCTGGGATCATGCAACCATGCAGGCTTTTTGAATATCACCTCTACGGAATCTGTCCTAGGAACGAGCCAAAAGTGATGTTCTGTTGCTTATTCCTGGCTTGTAACAAGCAGAACTCAAAAGCTTTTTCGAGACATCCCTAAACTTGAAACCCTAAACCCTAAACCCTAAACTGTTTACATGACCTTGTATACCCAAAGCCTGGGCATGATGGTCATGTGCCCTGCTACCCCCTTACTTGGAGGGTCAAGGGGACTTAGTAATTAGTAACTAGGTTAATAATTGGGAAAGTTGGGGTTACTATATGGGTTATAGGGGTTATTTACCTACTTACTAAATCCCCCTGACCCTCCAAGTAATCCTAAACCGTAGCATGCACACCTTAATCCTGGGCCTCTCCGGCGTATGCGCATTCAGAGTTGACGGCCTATAGGGTTTGAGGATCTAATGAAGTGCTTGTGCATACCCTAAACCTTAAACCCTAACCGCCAACATTACCTTCTTCGTGTTTAGTCGGTCTTAAGATTTGAGGTTTGAGGCTGATCTTACAAGAAGTGTTAGCTATATTTGGTGGTTTCCCACAACTGGGGCTTTCTTTTGGGGGGGCCACTAGAATAAGGATCATAGTATATTGGGGTCTATGTTGGGGTACCCCGCTTTGCACAGGGCGGATGCGGGCAACGCCCGCATACATGTCGTGGCGCCTTGTAAGAACCTCCCATACAGGGCATGAGTGCCAACAAACGCATGATTTTGAGGAACTCCCACACAAGTAGTCACCTCCTCCTAAGATTAAACACTGCCCACCTCGCGATAGCAAATATGCTTCCCAATATAGGAGGTCTCTTCCAGGGCATATCAAACATTAGGGGATGGGGGTGTTTAGTGTGCTGACAGAGGGATTACCTTTGGTTGGTCCTTGGGACTACTCTCGGGGTTCCATGCTGGGTGGGGACAGTAAACGTGTAACTCGCAACCCCGAAGTAACCCCAAAACCTAATCCCTCAACACCTTAAACCTCAATCTCCGAACCCTCATTCCTAAACAGCCCTAAACCCGAAACCTTAATCCATAAACCCTAATCCTTAAACCCTCAACCCGAAATCCTACGCCTTAAACCCCTAACCCTAAACCCTTGACCCCCAAGCCCACACCTCGCAGTTTTGAGCCCTGTGCCACATCGGAACCATCTTGATCGTAGGAATGTCCACCATGCCTTGGCTTGGGCGGTAAATTAGACTTTAGGGCCCTTTCGTCCCCCTTCAGTAGATGGAATATGGCTTTGGGTATATTATAATAAGATCCCCATATACCCCAGATTCTATCTACTTGAGGGGGACTATAGGGTTTAGAAGGTCTACTGTAAGGGCTTTGGCTTTGGGTCTTCGGGTGAAGTGTAAAGGGGAAGGGTTTGCGATTTAGGGTTTGATGCTGGCATTGTTGTACAAAATATTCGGGCATCTTGCATCTTACTAAGGCTTCTGATGGTGATCATCATGTTCAGTATCTTCATTCTTGCATGTAGCACAGCTGCAATCAGTCCCATAGGTTTTTCCTGGTTGCCATTTTGGGGAATCCTTAGTCCCTTTGAACCACTATACAATCCCAGGTTCCATTTCATGTTCAATGCTCTTGTTCCATTTGATTCTCCGTTCTTGGGGTTTTATATTTCCCCTGAAGCGGGCCCTTGCCTGCACCCTAAGGAATCCACTGGGGAGTCTTCCCAAAAATGGGGTGACCTTTTGGGGGTGCCCAAAATAAGATTTCAGCATTTGGGGATCTATGTTGGGGTCCCCGGCTTTATGGAAACTACCCTAAACCCTACACCCTACACCCTAACTACTGTTCCAACGAAAGCTCCTCCATCTTCGTGGTTCATATCTTGCGAATCCAAGGCTCGTATGGCCTAGATCAACTCTTAGCTCAGAATCCGAGCAGCAAGAAGGTTTAGGGTTTATAGAGCTTAGGGCTTAGGATGTAAGGTTTAGGATTCAAGGCTTAGGTTTGGGGTTTAGGATTCAAGGCATAGGAATTGATAATTTGAGGTTTAGGGCTTCGGAGTTAGGACTTAAGGGTGTAGGGCTTAGGGACTCAAAGTCTTGAGATCCAAAGTTTACAGCTCCCCAAAACTTACATGGAGCTGCCTGAACAGTTCGAATAGTGTTTGACGGTACATCATACCATAGTTGCCCTGGAGGATCCACAAAGCAGAACCCCCAAATTGACTCCAGTACTTCAGTGGCGAAACTCGCGGATTATTAGGCCTAAAGCCTTGAGGTTAAACCATGTTAAACCACCCATCCAATTTTTCAATCTTTTCGACAAGCACTGGAAACGCATGGCAGCCGTAAAAACCATGTTAAAGCCTGAAGTCTAAGATCTTTCAAGTTGGTTGGGGTACATGGGGATTATTTGGAGATGACGATGGTGATGTATTTGTGTTTCTACGTGCAAGCTGTGAATATTCCCTAGACGCCAAACCCTAGATGTATAAATATCTATATAGGGATTGTGAGCAGGGTGCTTGCAAGGCCTGCCCTGAAAGATTATGCGGGGAATACTCCAAAGAACTCTCGTATCTTCTCACTGAAACATACAGTCCACAAAAAAATACGCAACATTCTATGTGACATATGGATTTCCTCACTCCAAACGTCGATCCACTTGGAGACGAATCAGAAACCAGAGCCCCAACCCCGCAGCCTTACACAACCCTCAACGTTAAACCCAACACCCAACCCCAAAACCCCTAAATCCTAAACCCCAAACCCCTAAACCCTGAACCTCTAAACCGCTTAGCCCCTCAACGCTAGACCCCACCTTCCCGGTTCCCGCCCACCCCGTCCCCACCCAATCTGCTCGGTACCCAGGCGCGTGTAAAGACCCGCCAGGCGCGCCTTCCAGAGGCGCAGGCTTGAGGGTTTAGGGCTAAGGTTTGGGATTCGACCAGATCTTCAACCCTAAGCCCTACACCTTAAACCCTTTGGTAGGGTTTAGGGTCCACAATTTCGGGCTTAGGATTTGGGGCTCTGACTGGGGAACCAGGGTCCGGTTGACCGGGAAACCGGAAATGCTCTGAGCGGGGAACCGGGGCCCGATTCACCGGGTTTTGGGTTGGCGGCCCAAGATGCAAAAAAAGGCCCGGCATGCGATGTTTGGATTTGGCGGCCCCAGATGCAAAAAAAGTATGTGGCTGGACACGGGGGATGTGATGCTTGGACTTGGCGGCCCCGGATGCAAAAAGAAGTATGCGGCTGGACACGGGGGGGCATGTAAAGTTAGAGGAAAAAGAGGGGGTGCGCCAGATGGAGTTATGGGCTGGACGAAATGTAGCGGAGATGTAGTAACTACAGCCTAGTTTGTTGGCGACGTTGGCCCAGAGTTTACTGGCTTCATTCTTGGCAGGCTCATGTGTTTTTGCAGGGCATTCGTGCAGTGAAACTTTAGCTTGCAGGCGTTGGCTATTGTCTGTGGTATGAATAAGCTCACGGCCTCACAGCTGGCATAGGAGTTAAATGGGCGCTGATTAGATGAAGTGTTATCGTGAGATGGGGTGTGTGGTCCTAATGGCTCAAATACTGTGGATGGCACCCGGAAGGGGTGTCTACGTACTCTGTAAATGGCATTGTATTCGCGATTTAAAACTTTCCTGGTACTCGATGCTGGAATTCCATGTTTTTGCATGTATTCCGCTTCGCGCCGCTGGAACACACACCTGCACTTCTTGCCTCCTGCCGGGTCATGGAGCCCGGACACGCGTCGCTCGTATACAGGTTTCTTGATCATGCTTAAGGTTTCTTGAGGGAATGGGTTGGCAACCACCAATGTGGCTTCTGCCTTGTTGGCAATCTTTATAAGCCTTTCCAGACCTTACTCTTGCTACTTGTTGGTAGGGATCGCAGGAATGAACAAGACAATTTAGATTACCATTGCTGGGAATGTTAGCGGGGTTCCCATAGAGATCTGTACACTTTGCATGCACCAATCTTTGTTATTGCGGTTGGCTAAAGCAGGATTTAATTGTCTGCTGTTTGTAAGCCTGTATGAAGCCTTTTATGGAGCAAGGAAGGTGTTGATATCTGGCGTTGTGGGCTTTAGGTTTTGGGGATGGGGCTCAAAGTTCAGGGGTCAGAGATCAATAGTTGTGCAATTTCTTGTACTTTTTCCCGGAGGGTTTGGGATTGAGAGTTTAGGATTCAGGTTTTACGAGTTAGGTTTTAGGCTTGGTTTGGAATTCGGGCTTGCAGTTTAGGATTTAGAGTTTAGGATTTAAGTTTGAGTGTTTAAGTTAGACACCAACCTGTTTTACATATAGCGTCTAGCTGTCCATGCACCTGCACGTAATCCGAAACCTTTACCCCCGAACCCGTCATTTCCACTAAACCTATCTCCCTCAGATACATGTCCCTAAACGCTAAACCTCTACAACTTTATGCGTTGAGAGCATAGTACTGCCTGAACCAAGTATTCAACAGAATAGGCTTTCTGGTGTTGTTTAGGGGCTGTCGGCCTAGGCTTGGTTTGGATTTGGGGGTTCAGTTTAGGATTTAGAGTTTAGGATTTAGGTTTGAATGTTCAAATTAGACACCAGCCTGTTTTACATATAGCGTCTAAACAAACACAGACCAGACGTCTTTGGCTTGCGCGAGGCCGAGCCATTCGTAATGGGGCGGTGCCTCCTGGTGAGACCAGTCTAACGCCATGGAATGGGTGGATGCTGTGGCAGCAAAGGTGTTCCACAAAGCCCAAGTGGCTTGGATGGAACGGATGATGGGCAGGGAGACTGCCCCGTGCGATGCAAGAAGATTGAGGGGCACAAGCGGGGAGGGCGCACCAACGCCAGTTTGGTGGTTTATGGTGTGCAATTTCTGCTGGGTGGTGGCAGAACCCAAGCTATACCAATTCTACAAAAGGTGGCGTGGAACGCAGCAATCAACGTTCGCTACTGATTTTCGCCACCATTATGGCCAGCCGCGCTTAGAGTCCTAACCCCTTCGCCCTAAGTTCTAAGCAAGGCCAAACTGGAGTTTTTCTACGGACGCCTCATGGAGGCTGCAACTTGCTGGCTGCCAGCAAGGGAAAAGCATGATGGGTCCGTGGGCACCGAGCTTTTTGATGCTTACTTTTCCTACCGGTGGGAAGTCTAGGATTTATGGTTTGGGCCTAGGGAATGGGTCCGAGGACTCGGTTGTTAGGGTCCCGTGGCCGCAGGTTGCTGAGGCGTTTTTTGACGCGTGGAATACCTGACGCGCGGAGTCCCTATCTTATATCCTCCGCGGGCAGGTATGAGGCGCGACGAGTACCTGACGCGCAGAATCTTTATCCTACATCCTCATCTTGGCCACAGATAGACAGGATGGAAACTGCGGGTCGATGACAAAAGCATATACTCTGAGTACTCAATTTCGGATACCAAGCACTTATTGGATAAGCCGCCCCAACTCCCAGCCCGCACAAGCATGAAGGATCCGTTCGGAAGTTAATTTTTGCCAGAAAGCTGGGCTGCTTGATAGCAGCAGGCTCCGCAAGCCTAACCAGTTACACCTCAAGCGCCCAAACCCTTACTGGGGGTTCTTAAACTGTGTAAGATCCATGGATTGAAGCTTGGACCTCATGAAGCGCAGCAGCCACAAAAACGAATACCGTACGTCCTGGGCATTGACCCTTCCGCAACTTGACATTCTTTGGACATTCCGGGTGGCAGAATGGCTTGCCGAAGTTCAAATCGTACCCTTTCCGGCGCAAATCCTGGGCTTTGGCAACAAGTTCCAAACATTGCGGTCCCTTTGGGGTGTCTCATGACAAGGATTAGACTCTTTCGGGGTCTACGTTGGGAACTCTCTTTATTTACGGAAACGACCACCTCTCCAGAGCGGCAAAAAACGGATCTTACACTTACCCCGTAAACCTGATGAGAGCTCAAAGCCCTAAAGCACTGCAGAAGCGCATAACTTCAACTTCCACTCCATGCATCACGCGACTGAGACTCAAGGAAGGCAGTTTTCATAGACGGCGATGGCTTCGGCATGTATGTATTTCCTTACATAGGGTCCATGGTCTTGCGGGCTCCTTGATACACACCCTAAAGGCAAAACTCTGACTGGCCCCTAGATCCTAAATCCTACAGCTTTAACAATAGCCGACGGGCACTAAGCATCTTTCCAAGCTACAAGTCACGCAAGTGTCCATAGGTACGATTTTCAAACTTACATTACC